AGGAGCCTCACCTCAAAGGCCAACTTTAACTAAACTGCATGTAGTGAAGTTTACAATCCCACCATTAAAACACGGTGCCAAATATCGCAGAAGAATGACACGTATATATTCACACGCTAGACTCAGCAGTCTATATTATAAAACGGTTCAGTAATTTCTTTGTTCGCCTTGCCGTTTTTACTGATATAAAAAAGATCATCACCGCGTAAAATCAACCGTTTTTAATCGACTTCAAATATTTAGTGGGACAAATTAGATTTTTTCGTTTAAACAAGCGGAGACAATTAAGTACATGCGAGTGTCTGGCCAACATTTCTGATTACAAATAATGTAAAGATATTTAGGTGATCTACCATATGAATATCAATTCATTATAGCTTTGCACTTGTATGCGACTTTAGAACGATAAAAAAATCACATAAACTGAGTTTTGGGTAAAAACTTCAGTTTAAAAGAGCTCAAGTCTTATAACGAGTATTTGGCAATTTGTTTTGATAGAAAACAGCTAACTTTGTAAATATAAACAACCAACTATTGTCCGATGTTGGTTTCGGCTCTTTTATGACTTCGCTTCGCTTACTCCGACAATGCAAGTGCCAGGTGGAACCTGCCTAAAGTTTACTTACATCAGATATTTTAAACAGGTCAGGTATTGATCAGTAGTGTTAAAAACATCACGAGCGTTGAAAAGTTGGAGCAGTCGATTTGGCAAAAAATCCTTCTTGAGTTGAGGATTCACTTGAAAGGCAGAGGGGATGGGGATTTACCATAAAGCTGCCCTCCAGATCTGGCCTGCCTGCATGCATGAAACAAATCCCTTCGAGTTATAAACTACTTTCGTTGCAAATAGTTAAGACACACATACAACAAAAAATCGTTGTTTTAATGAAATTCTAAGCACGGTAACTCGCACATTACAAAGTTGAATGCATTAAAGACTTCATAACGATAAAGTTTCAACATCAGGCAAAACCATCTGCTGTAGCAGTTTATAGCAAGGCCTTCATCAACTTAGAAATATCAGTTATTTAACGTTATTAAAATTCGATGTATTTAGGCTGTAAAGATCAATTAAAACTTACTGCATGCATAGTTTCATCTTTCCATCAGGCAAAATTTTGCGTTGGGTTGGAATTTTCTCTGTTTGTGAATTAATTCTAAAATGCTGAAAAAACTAATCTCAAAAAGACAAAGAAATAGACATACACTTCCCGCCTATACAACACCCAAAACGACTTAAATTCACAATAACACACGCTAGATCTAATAGAATTTGACCAGTATGGTCGTCTCACAAACTCTCCGGTTTTGAAAGCCAAAACCGCGTCTGGATATTGAAAATTTTAATGAAATGGCTTCTGCGCGAGGAAATGGCGCGCTTTGCTCCTCTTACATTCGTTCATCAATTCCTGGACATCTTCCTTGAGGTTCATGGGCTGAAATCTCGGCGGATAACGCTTTCTAGGGTTACCATGGTGGTCGATCAGGAATTTTTCGAAATTCCACGTGATGTCAGTGGTGCGAATGGGAGAGAAGAAGAGATTGCTTGGGTCGCCAATCAGGGTGGTAGGATTTGGACACAAGGACTATCAGCAAATGTAGAAACTATATTAGTTAGCATCAAGGACAAGGGCCAACATTACCCGGCATGTTTCAGACTTTACTTCCACCACCCTACCCTCTACCGCGCTAGAGAACATTCCGTATCACAATCAATTTGATTAAAAAGCATCAAATTGTTTTCCGCACGGTACATCCACCATGTCAACAAAGGTTTCTTAAAAATTTCCCCACCTCAAATACGAAGCCGTTTCTTGTGAAGTCGCAAGCACAAGTATAGAGGAAAAACTTGGCCTTATTTTTTATAACTGTACGAAATACAGGCCTCACCTTCAGCCATGTAAAAAGCTTATCTTCTTTCTCTCCGTTAACATCCCGTTTGACCAACAGAGAAAGCCTCGGAATAAAGCCATAACCTGGCCTTACATATCTCACTGAATTCAAAATTTCAATTCCAACTCCAGGCTCCTGTAATCCGAACTGATTACACGGAACACCGTAGATTTTGAAAGGACACGGAGCATCCTTAAACTCATCGATTAATGCATTCATTTGGTGATACTGTTGTACGGTTAGGCCTCAAAATGACGCCACGTTTGCGACGAGCACAATTTGGCCGGCATTCTGCGAGTACGAAAAGTTTTTTCCTCCGACAAGAAACTGATCATCGAAGTCGTAAAGCGTCTGATCACCCGTGAGACAAGTCGAGGACGCGACGTCTTCGCTTCCCGAAAAAGCACACAAAAAATTGGCGCTTAACACAGTTGCGATGTAAGTGAGTGGAACCATCTTCGCTTGACCCAACCAGAAGCGAATAAGGATAGAAGTGAACCGCAGAACATAAGGAAACTTGTTTAACAACACATAAAATTAATGCAAATTTTTGCCTACCAATGCTCGAGTAGGCTTTTGTCTTTGTTAAAATACAAGTGGAACTAATGAGAGGTAACTATATTGCTCTCACAACTCCCACGACGGGCTCAAAGATCTACAGGGTGTCCCCAAATAAACAAAAACTTTTGAAATCACTCATTGTCAAAATTTGAATGCCGTGTTCACGAATTTCAGCCCGTGGGATTTAATGCAACTTATAAAATGCTAAATGCTTTGTGTTGCTAGAGAAAGGGGACATGTCGAAGGTCATGGTCCTTGAGATGCACACTTAAATATTGTTATCCGTATTTGTAAATATTGTTAATAAATACCATTTTTGCGAACAAGCAAATTTTACTGCATCATATGCATGCATAAAAATGAGTATGGTAAACATTTATACATCTGTGGGTCCCAACAGAGTGCTTAGGCATTCAAACTCTATCTATAGCATTGTTATGGGTGATTTCAATAGTTTCCGGTTTTTTTGGGACACCCTGTATAAGTGTCTTCGTGATCGTCAAGGCTACGTTCATGCAAGTAAAGAATCTGCATGGCGATTTTTCCGCATATACTGTGAAGCCAGGCCCACACTGGTGAACGTATCCGCACATGCATGCACATGTCCGTGTCCCTGTGACAATTGTCACCCACACAATGTTCATAGTCTGCAGGGAGTATGGTGTGCACCACAGCGTCGTAAAAATGAACACGAATGACAAAATACAGGGTGTATAAAAAAAAACTGCAAATACGATAATTTGTATGCACGAGATCATACATTAGAATTTCAATGACTGTGCAACTAATTACGCTTCTTGAATTTGAAAATACATTTCCCAGGGTTATCAAAACAAGCACACAAAGCGAATTAAACTTATGAGTTCGATTACGAATGGCTCAGTTAAGAACAGAACTAAGAGAATTTCTTGTTTTAAACGTATACGAGCAAACTCAACCTCCGTCTAAAGTCGTGTTTATTGGAAAATCAAGTACATAACACAAGGGTTAGGGAGCGTTGGTAAACATGATAACCCTGGGAAACGTATTTTCAAATCCCAAAAGCGTAATTAGTTGCACAGTCATTGAAATTCTAAAGTGCATACAAATTATGGTATTTGCAGTTTTTTGATACACCCTGTAGAGAGGGTGAGATACCCAGGTTCCGGTGTGCGGGTATGGGTAGCCTAACTAGCCTTATTTTGTTCAATGAATTTCTATCAGTGTTTCAAATTTCGTTCGATCGAAAAATTCCGTCTAGTGAAAAACCGCCATTACCAACAACCGTTAACGAAATATATAGGCTATAACCAATAACCAGTAATACAGGGCTATTTTCGTGATTTCGTTTTCTAAGATTAAAGGAAGCGTGCAGTGAATTTTTGATTTTGGAATAAGAGAATCATCTGTGTAATCCTTGTATTACATATTTATTCCACAAACGGGCAACTTCGTCGGATCCCAATTCACTTTTGACATAGTGAATGTAGTTTGTTATTCATAAAGCAGTACTGCCCTGGCTGCCATTGGTTTTAGTCGATTTGCTGCTCATATACTTTGCAACTCAACAGACTATAAAACATCCGTCAGAATGGGACTTGGATCCGACAAAATATGATCGTGCATGTGAACAGACTCCAGAGGCTCCAGAGTGTTCCTGAAAATGGACGCTTTTGAAGTCACTTAATGTTTGAACTTTGTTATTTACGATGTTTCCACAAGAATGATATCGTAATCCCATTTCAGCAGGGCTATATGCCGATGTACTGAAAGCTAAGTATAGCTTACTTTGAAATGCATGATGTAATAAAATGTTTCATCTCTGCAATTTATAAATCTTTATAACACAACTTTAACTATAAGACGTTCAAAATGTGTGGCTATATACAGAATTCTAAAATTTGCCCGATCCGAAGTGCGATCATCTACGAACAAATTAAAACTTGACAGCATGGGTTAACGGTGACTCGCCCCTTTACATCACATATTACCCCTCTTATCCATATACATCATCATTGTCCATGAGTACCACCGTTGACAACCTGTCAATGCGTAGGAAGAGTTTATAACCACTGAACACAAAAGAGTTTCTGGAGTGAGCAACAATAAACATGCAGTAAACTATAACATAGCATAAATCATTCAAAAATTGCTAGTGATGGGAACTATGCATAGTGCATACCATATGATCATACTGTAAGAACATCAAATTGGAATAAGTAAAACTGGCAGGGAAAAAGAAACAAATTCATGCACGTTAAGAATTTTAGCAGTCGAGCATTAGACAGATGATCAAGCCGTAATAAACACCTTTCTGACACCGCTATATTCCATCACTTTTTTAATGGAACTTACTTAAAATATTTTATTAAAAAGTTGTCGAATGAGCTTGGATATTTCATTAACATCACTGTTTATTAAATTGTAATGTAGACGTTGTGAAAAATATGTGACTGTTATAAAGCATCTGTTTGAAAAACTTTTTTTCGTGAAAATTTCATCCATTAAGGATGATACAACGTTTGCCTAGCACGTGTGCGCACTGCGTACCTATTTTTGTATTAGAAGGGAGGGCCTGACTTCGAAGTAACACCTTCCTTTCTGCTCAATCCGACGAAAATTTAAAGTGTGATATGTTGTGCATAGGATGATATGATAGCGCTCGTTGTCAATATTTTAACACCACTGTCCAGTGGTAAATACGCTCCTCCGAAACCGTTCGCTAAATTTTCTCGCAAACGCACCTATGCACGCCGGACAGCACTTTACCAGGAGTGAAGCTGACTAGTAATACGACATATATGGATGATATATGGACATATATGTATATGATGTATATCAATAACAGACGTAAATAGAAGCAACGAAGTCAACCTGGCGAAGTTGCAATACCAAGATGGCGGCCAATCTAGTTTCTAGCACTATTAAATTCCAACGAAGAAAACTCTTTGTTATCATGTTATTATAATTATTAAAGCAATATTTACACAGAAAGGCTCCCAATACACACGTGGTTTTCAGGGAGATGCAGTAAGTTAGTCTTATAAAATAGATTTGTTGCCATCTTGGTGCTTTAAAACTCTCCATTTTCGACGACTTCAACTGCCTTTAAGAAATGCCCTATTCATGTTCGTTTATATCCGTGATATTAAACTACGCTCTAGATACACAGGACTTTACCTTATTTCAGCACACCTCCCAGTTTTCGGGCGAGTTTTGTTGGTCAGTTTCTCCATTCATATTCCCATCTGATATTCTTCCATTAAGCGCGGCGGTAATCTTTAAACCATTTTCATCTAATAGTGGTTTGCGCTGTGTGACTGCATATTCTTCCGGCAAGGCTTCTTCCAACGAGGGCTTTTCATCCGGTACGACTGTATCTGTCGTGGTATCTTCGTCTGACAGGGGACGAATTACTGGAGGGCACGTTTCTTCTGATGAGATGCCTAATTCCGATGTGGTGTTAACCTCTGATAATGCATCATCATAATCTAATGGAAAATTAACTTTCGGCATGGGAATATTTTCCGTTGGGGTATCGACTTCTGATTGGGTATTTTGTGCCGGTAATGCATTTTCCTCCGCGGTGGCATTTATTTCCGCTGGGGTACTTATTACCGGCGATGTAACTTTTTTCGGTAGGGTGCTTTCATCCGGTAGGGTGCTTTCATCCGGTAGGGTGTTTTCATCCGGTAGGGAACTTTCTTCCGGTTGGGTACCCTCTTCCGGCGGGGCATTTTCTGCCAATAATACATTTTCTCCAGATTCGTCAGGGGTGACTTGGTCTGGAGAATGTGGTGCGGTTTGGTCCATAATGTCAAAATAGTTGTCGTCAGTAAAGAAGAGATGCTTCACAAACTGGCCGACTGTTGGTCGGGTGCCACCATTTAGGGCCAGGAGATTGGTCAGCATGAATGATACCGCTTTGCTCTAGAATTTTGCAAAGCTGGGTTAGAACTATTCTCTTCTGAAGCTGGAATATCGGAGTAAAATAATACACAAAATAATTTCAGCAATTTTTAAGGGCTCGACTTCAACGAGAAAACAACTGGGACATCGGGAAAATAACTCTTAAAGTCTTCAAACAGGAATTGACCCAGTTTTGATGAGATTTCCCTGAGTCACAGGGTTGACTTCAGAGTTATACTTCGGTACCCTTTGTGTGTTTTGGCCAAATTTTTATCAAAGTGTTGGAGATAAACATTCACCTGTGAATGTGTCTGTAACGATGTTAGGTCCCTTGGCACAACTTCATCGCCCAGAAATATCTGCAATGTGTATAAAACAATCTAATTTTAACAGGTCTAACGCACAGTCGTTGAACATCAAGTTAATATAACAACCTAATAACACATAACTGAGTCATTCACACGTTTAAATCTATCAAATTGTAGAGACCATGCAGCGGCAAAAATTGCAAGCGAGAAAAGTGGTCTACCTCATCAAGACAAGGCTATTTATTTCTTACGAAATTAATCTAGCGCTGTCAGTTCACTCCTGGTAAAGCCACGTGATATTAAAAGAGCGAAATAGCAAGGTTTGGTAATTTATTTGATATCACACACACTAAGAATAACTAAGGAAATTCTCGATCTAAAGTTCAAATCACATTCATGACTTGGTTGTGCGGTCATATCATTCCAGATGCTAAAAGAAATCATTCAAAATTCTTAATGTTAACCCCAAACGTTATCTCAGGGAAAGGAGAATGCTTCATAGACGAAGATTATACATCAAGCAAGCCCTGGAAGTTTGCATTCGTTCTAAATTTATCTCAAAGTCGTGCGTTTACAGCGAGGCCCCTATGGCCCTAAGATTGCTTTAGGTGTCCTAAAGTTAATTAATTTTGGCTTCGTTTACGGAAAGTATACTTAGTACATCCAGTGAATCATCAGTTAAGTTCAGTGTTGACTATCACCTACCAAACTACACTATCTTATTTGCTAAAGTATACCCCTGGCAGAAAATTCGAACCCATTCCCATCACCGGTGTGTCTACTCACCACCCAAGCGATGTCGCCAAGGCAAAACATATCGAACACCGGGGATGCTTCACAGGAGACTGGAGCTGAGTTTTGTAGCAACAATTCCGCGGTCGAAGATACGCGTTGTTGCTAGGAAAACAAATGAGGCATGACTGTTAGTTTGTAATAATATAATCTACGAGAAAAACTTAAAGAACTACACGCCGGTTTCCATTCACGACTTTGAATGTTGTTACAAAACTTCATGTAAGCCCCACGAAGGTTACCTACCGTATCGCGGATGAAACAATATTCGCCCAAGATCCCTCTGTCGTTATTGTCCACATAAATATTATCAATCACAACTGAGCCGTGGGTAATGCCGGCCTTGTGCAGCTCGAACAAAACACGTACGATGTCACAAATGACGTCACGCTTTGCCTAAATATGGAGCAGTAATATATTCAGCAGTCAAAGATGGTTCTTACACGACGTATTTCACACAGGTACATTACAGATGAGAAAGAATACCTAAAAATTGAAGCCTAAATAACATACCTTATTAGAAGGTTTGCCTTCTAACCATTTTCGTAGGCTTGTTTCGTAATAAGGAAGCTGAATAAATGCTTTCCTGTGCGTCTATGGGATAAAAAAAGGAAAACACGTTTCACACAAGAAACACATTTACAATGAAGTACAATGAACGAAGTACTACTTTTCATGTCTGATGGTCAAGATTTTGCAATTCTATATCAGGACTATACTTTTAGGGGATACTCCTAATCGATTAAGTTGTGTCTAAACAGTAAAAGCGGGACGTAAAAGCGGGACGGGATATGAACAAAAGTAATCTCACCTTATCATAAAATATAGCTTCGACTTTCATCAAACTTGAATGCTCGACTCGACTGAAAGCGGCGGCCTGTGTCTCGAATAAGTCGGTATCAACTACATCCTCAAAGCTGAATTCCTGCAAATATAAAATATCATTGTAATTAAACAGAGAATTGGTAAGCATTGAACATCATGTAAGGCGGGAGTTCAAAGTAAGGAATCCAGTAGACAAAGATCAGTGACAAACCTTGAGTAAACACTTTTCTCCATTGAACATCGTGACAAACGCGAGCCCCAGTTGCGATGACGCCATCACGTTTTCCATCTCGCCATGCCAGTAGTAAGTTAGTTCCCAGCCTTGTTTAACAAGACCGTTGCTTGCCTAAAGATTTTGGCGATTCGATAATAAGTTATGGGAATAGATTTCAAGAGATGAATTGGACAACTCTGCAAGGTTTTGTGATTTTTTATATAGGTAAACCATTTGCATTATATTCGAAATTCGCTGTGACCTGTTGCCTAAATAAGTCTAAGCACTTACGATAAATTTCTGCAGACCAAACTCAGGATATTGCACGGGTAATTCTGGGAAATTTTCAACGGCGACTTCGGCAAGTTCTCCCTGAATGAAGATACGGACCCGATTTAACAGCAAATCGCTTTATAGTCTGAATCAATCGTTATCCAGGAATGTATGAATACATACATTTTGCTATCAACACTGAACAGTCGCCTCCAACCAGGGGCCGGTTGTATTCAAGCCCGTTTAGCTTAAACGGTGGATAATTCAAAATTAAATAACACTCTTACATCTCTCTTGAATGAGTCAACCTGAATATTATGCACTGATGAATAGTTGTAAACAGCATCTTTGTAATAAGGTTAAAAACATTTAGTTCCCTTGTTGAATAAAACGATAGACTTGTTTTCTATTTTGTATTTAACCGTTTAAGCTAGACGGGCTTGATACAACCGACCCCAGGCAAGTACTGTTGAACAGTCAGTTAACAAGTACTGTCATTAGTTGAAGGTATCAAAAATCGAAGTCATTTCAAAGTTTGTCCATCCTTGATATTTACATACCAAAGCAAGCTTTTCGTCAACAAGAAGTCCGTGTAGCTGCAGCCGTAAATCATTGAGATCATTCTCCACCTGAAATGATTTTAACTGAGTTTAACCTAACAATTCATGTCACAACAAAATTTTTCAAACCGAGTTTTAAAATCTGCGATCACACGAGACACGCAAGTTCGCAATTTGGTTGCAAAATGGGAATCGGTGAAACGGCATTGAATTCATCGTTGTGGGAGGTTTACAATCTTGTTACAACTTCATGACAAGAACTTTGGCGAAGAGATACGACACCTTACCAGTGTGTTGTTAAGTCGTTCAAGAACAAAACAATATTTCACCTGTTTAAGTTCTTCATTATCCACGACTTCATCACTCTGTATAAACGGCAAAAACAATTTACAAATTGTGGTCATGAAAACCCCATCATGCACTGGAGCGAAACTGATGTAAGCCTTTTTTCAAACCTCTTCCAAGTCTTTTTTGTCGGCCAATTTGTGTCGGAATTTTGATTTTACACTCTTTAAATTCTTGCGAATTTCGAGTATTTTTGAGATGTCTGGTTCCCTGTTCAACGATGTCTCTAAGTCGTCCTGAACGAGTAAATAAACGTAAAGAAAGTAACATATATGTTTCATCAAAATAACATACAATTATGCAAACTTGCCGCCCGAAATTCATGAAAACAACCGAATACGATATGAATCAATCAACTGTACCTGAATTCTCGCGCACTCGTCGGCACGTGACCTATAGGACACGACATAATTGGTATTATAATATCATCAGAAACTCAAAAATCTTGCACATTTCGACAGCTATATTTGTCAAAACCTTTTTAGTAAGTTTGTTAACAAATGGCAGCGCTATTACTTCACAACTCTCCGTTAAACTTGTAGCAAAGGGCGCTGAAATGTCTATACGATTTGCTATAGCCTGAATTTATATTTGCTAGACTATTCTACACCGAATGGGGTACTTCACCTACGAATATATATATAAAATTCCCGCGGAAATCAGCAAGCTACTGTCTGGCAAGTTGGTGTTGATATTTCAACACGCAGAAAAGACAAATTGATGCCCAAAATACCTCAGTTGCTTAACAACAGCAATTTCTTGTTGTAGTTCATTCTTGAGACATTTTATCAATGCCGCGAGAACTTTGATTTCCTCTGCATTATCATCACCTTCCTAAATGCAGAGAAATAATCTATCATCTTACACATTATGAATACTTCAAACTCATGGTTTCAACCGCTTCGACTTTCAAGGTTTTAAATAAAAAAAAACGAGAATTAAAACAATTGTCTCTGGTGTTTACTACACGCAAAGATACGGGCGAATCTTTGCATGTGAAAAGATCCAGACATTAATCTTCTCGCGCTTAGGAAGTCTGACAAAAACAGACCGTTTGCAGACTTTTTCTATGCGAGTTCATCCATTCCCACGCAATACCACTTCACTTCTTACATGCAAAAATGACTAAAAATGATCTAGATTAAATCACCATTCTGAATTACCTGATTTTCGCTAACCTCTTCAGCGACAGCTTCACTCAACTGCTTCGCAATTGAGTTCACATCAGTAGTCTCATAATCATCTATGCTAAAATCATCATCAGGATCTAACATCTAGCGAGCAAGATTGAGAAAATTTCTAAAACTGTATAATTATACTGTAACCTGAAGGGGGCAAAATAGCCTGTATGCAGGCTTGTTAGAATTTACTTTTACATATAACGACATGCAGGTTGCGTGCAGGCTAGGCACATGCATTCCGAGTTCAACAAAATAGTTATATATTTATAAATAATTAGGCAATTACACGTGAACTGTAACTGACAGCAAAACATTGCCTTATCGTTATAGGTGAAATATGCCAATCAAGTTTTTCAAACTTCAAACAGTCTGATAGATAAAAAAACAAACTTTGGAATCTCGTAAAACAGATTAACAACATTTCGCGTAAGAATTGCTAATATTTCAGCGAGTAACTAAAAAGTTATTACAACAGTACACACCTTCCTAGTTTCATAAATTCCTCCGAAAGTTTTCTTGAGATATCATCTGTTGTTTGTCGCGCAGATATCCCATCGGATTTTGCTTCCTTTTCCTAAACAATAAATATCAACGTCTGAACAATAAATATCAACGTCTTTGATATATTGATATACAAATGGCAGTCAGTTATTTCCAAATCTTTAAGGTTCGCAGATGAAACAGTGCAATAAATGATACATTACCTTCCAGTCTTTGTAATTCTTCACAGCTTCATCGAGCGACTCATCTCCATCATCTAAAAGTAGAATGAAAACAAATTACAGAAGATTAAACTTTATCATTCTAGTTTTCAAATGCAATAAAAATTCTCAAAACCAATGGCACGATTAGGTGAAAAGAGGCTTACATCGGTGATGAAACACACTCAGCTTTTTCAGGGCTTCCTAAAAATAAAGTTGAAAAAAAGTTGTAACGGGTTTTGCGCATAAATTTTCTCTTTTAACAGGCAAATTTTAAACTGAATATACAGTATGTGCATGCAGCAGCAATGTCTCTGGCGTTTACTACACACAAAGATACGGGGAAATCTTTGCATGTGAAAAGATCCAGACTCTTAATCTCTCGCCTTTAGCATGGCAGACAAAATGAACGGTTTTGTGTACCAAATCAAAGCGAGGAAAGTGCAATTGAACCCTTTACTGATGAAAAACATGCTCATGTATATATTCGCCTGAACTTTAGAAAATACCTCGAGTTTTTGCCCGCGGTCGGTGATATTCAAGGATTCGAATTCTCCCAGAAAGCTCTTTGTATTTTCAAACAGTTCTTGTCTTTCGCTGTTTCGACTTTCGACAATTTCTTTCAGTTTATCCTACAAGTTAGAACGACGTAACACGGTAAAACAAGCGCCTTCATGTCTCGTTCAATTTGACCGACGTGAATGGAAGATACTTTATTATAAGATTGCTCATGAAACGACATGTGAAAAACTCGAAGTTTACCTTGCCGTCGCACGTTCTTATAGATTCTTGTACCAAGTTTAGGGAATTCATCGAAAAGCATAACTGAATGAGAGGAAACCCAAAATAGAGATTTTGTATCTTCTGACAATGGCTATCTTCTCATTACAATCTCCTTATACAGGCAAGGTATACAACTAAACAAATAACAACTGACAACAAAGATACCTTTTCAAAACTTTTAACTCTATCCAAGGTAATTCGGTTTTCGGTATCAGTTACCAAGGATATCGCCACGTCAATATTCGTTGCTCTGTCCTGACCACAGGTGGTCGCACATCTGAATAAGTACTTTTACTTTTACTGACGATTTCAACCACTTCAGATTATAAGAAAAGGAGGCTTTACTGGAGAGAGCTTCATTGGGAAAAAGGGGGCTTTTTACAGAGTGGAGGCTTATTTAAAAGGGGGAGTATCAAAAAGAAAGGATTATCTAAGGAGAGGACACTTATTAGAGGAGGGAGCCAATTAGAAGAGATGAACTGTAGGACTGAGGGGCCAAGGGGGTAAGAATAGGCCTATTAGAAGAGGGGTTTATTACAAGGGGAGTATTATCAAAGAAGTGGGCAGTTATTAGAGGAGGGAGCCTATTAGAAGAGATAAAAGGTTTTTAGGGAGATGAGGCGGGGGGAAGCTAGGGAGAGGGTATGATAGGGGTTGTAACCTGAAGAATATGATTCGTACCTTGACTGTTGCAAATCTGTCATCGATGTTATTATTGTTTTCATCTACAAGAGCAAAGAAAGATTTAATCCTATGCCACTAGGTCCGACCGTAGTTCACTGACCTGTTCAGTTGGGAGGTCAAATAAGGCACATGTTTTCCATACCTTGATACATTTGTCCAGTTGCAAACACAGATCATCGTTCTGCTGTTTCACAGTTTCAAAAAGCTTGTTCAAATTACAAATAGTTTCGGCTTGGAACTAAAAAGAAATTATTTGTATTGAACAACCAACTTTACGATGATTCCAGGCAATTCAAAAGAACCAATCAAAGCGATAACTATTTCAAAAGAACCAATCAAATGCGATAACTATATCCGATGAACCAATCACAAGCGCAATATGGCAACCAAAAGTAGCAGTAGTGGTAGTCAAATCTGAACCTTGCTATTGTAAGTAACTGGGCGAAAACCTATAAAACGTTTTACAACTTGCCTTGACTGTTAACTTAAGGCCGTTTAACTCTTGTTTATGGTCTTGCTTGTCCTTGTTTGGCTTCTCTGGACTTGAGTCCTTGTTATTCTCGTTCAGCGGCTTCTCGGCCACACTCTTCTCTATTCTCCCTTTGTCACTGCGCGGCTGAAAGTACAGAGTATATGGCTTCACACACAGTAGCCTGACGACGCGCTTTTAACAATCCTGTAGCTTTCTATGGCGAAATGGTTTTAATATCTGTTCCAGGATAAACCACACAAGAACAACAATTACAACCATGAATCAGGATAACAATTATAACCAGGATAGTGCAAAGTTTCGTAGAATAGCAACGAGGTTAAACGAAGTACTACAATTCGCAAGCAAAGAAGATGCTTGGATCTCAGCGAAAAAATTACAAGAACATTTTAAATCGATTGTACACTTCAAATCGACGATAGCACGTGTGCCAATCATCCGCTCGTCCGCACCCGCATTATTTTTAACCCATAACTGTCATGGAAACTTTTCCGGAAATGTCTTAAAACACGCGCGAACATAATATCCACTGAAGTTCCGATTTCAAAATGGCTAGAGCCGCTTTAGCCCAAATCACTGCATTAGCCGCAGTATTTTTGAGCGTTTTTCTGGCGATAACGCTAATGAAATTGGACGCAAACATTGCTTTTAACTGGACCAAGATCAAGGAGATTCTAGGTTAGTGGTATCGCTTTCAAATCTATAAACTATTGCCTAATTGGTAAGTTAGTGAGAGAATCTACGCGGATGTAAAATCGTACTATACATTCGCTAGTATATAAGCATCGCGACAAGTTACTACGGGTTGATATTTCATATTTCGAGTCGATGCAAATCGTCGGCTGTCGCCTCGGGTAGTCGAGCGATCGCTTCTGATGTTGTTTGAGAACGTGACAGAATCATGAGGGATTTAGAGTGAGCTGTGTTTGCATAATCTACCCAACCTCAAAATATGCCCGGTTTCATTATACGTCGGTGCACGCAGGCTAGGTTTTAATAGATTCTTCAAAAGCTACCTTCATGAGATGTGCAATTCCTAGACTAGTGGAGAATTCCTAGCTTAGTGGAGAATTCCTAGCTGAGTGGAGAATTCCTAGCTTAGTGGAGAATTTCTAGCTTAGTGGAGAATTCCTAACTTAGTGGAGAATTCCTAGCTTAGTGGAGAATTCCCAGATTAGTGGAGAATTCCTGGCTTAGTGGACAATTCCCAGATTAGTGGAGAATTCCTAGATTAGTGGAGAATTCCTGGCTTAGTGGGATCAAATAAATCACCGTTAATAGATTGATAGATGTAATAAAACCTGGAACGCTAACTTGGCCGCCATCTTTGAAGCCAAATGTGAAGGTTTTCTGAGTTTTGGAACGTTTGAGACGTTTGAGTAATTATCTATAGGAATGTCTAGAACTATGTAAAATAACAACAACGAAAAACAGAGACAAAAACTCAGTTTTTTATTCAATTTTTGGCTTCAACCAAATATTACGCTAAAAATAAGATATGCTAGTCTTATTTTTTGCAATATAAGCATACTAAAGTATCTTCTTTTCGGAATCAAAAGTTGGTCTATTATTATGCAAGTGATCCATTGAGCGTTAAAATAATCAATTCCCATTCTTACGCACGTGTTATATAGAATCCGACCAATGCAGTGGGGAAGTTATCGCCTACTACAAATTTGACCGATCTTTTAGAGATGTGTGCTTTGGCCACAATGCCCATAAAGAGAGAAACGTGGTGAGGGATATTTCAGAAGGCATAGCGAACAGCGCAGCCCGTTTCTACGATCATTATAAAATATCATATCTCTACGTACCCAGTCTATACGGTTACGAATGGGGCTCGACCTTCTCTGTCAGTATCTGGTTCAAAAACGTAGAAATTGTACGGGACGAAATCCGAGGTCTCATTAATAATGGCCCAGCGGCTATACAGAAACAAAATCAGCACAAATCATTCCGGAGATCTCCGACAACACCAAACACCTTAGGAAGCTGGCAAATACGAATTGCATCGCAAAAATTCATTGGTGCATCCATCGTGACATCACACTCAGCCAAAACCTGGCAGAACATAACGACTGCTATTTCAGAC